GAGCAGCCCGAGGAGGTAGGACCAAGGGGGAGGCCAGGGCCTGGGGGACGTGGGCTCCGCAGTGGGAGGAGCCTGGGTGTGGCTGGGATGGGGTGGAGGGCCTGAGGCCCCTTTGGCCCCCACAGCGGACCTCCCCCACGACCCTCCAGGAGACCCCCCGCAAGACCCCCCAGAGAATGGTGCCACCTGTCAGTGCCAGGCATGTGAGCCTCAGCCAGGCTCCCGTCCAGATCCTGGCTCCTCCAGGGATGGCTGCCCCCCGCTGTTTCAGGAGCGGTAAGGCACAGGGCTCACCCCTCCACTTGCTCCGCTTTGGGGTCCCAAAGTCCCATTTCTGCTTATGGCTTCGGAGAGGGGCTGGGTGGTGCCTGGTGGGCCAGAGGTTCTTTCCTTCAGGCTGCCCCTCCCTCAGGTCAGTCATAGTGGAGAACTCCTCGGGCCAGAAATACTACACCAGCACTTCCGAGCTCCTCAAACCCGTGAAGAAGAGGAAGTACAGGGAGTACCACAGCCCATCAGAGGAGTCGGAGCCAGATGCCGCGGTAGGAAGAGGACCGGGGGAGGGGAGGGGGAGGCCAGAGGCTATCCCTCAATCCCACTATCCTCTCCATCAATCCAGGCCAGGGGACTGGGCCAGAGAAGACACTGAATGACTCACTCATCACATTTTAGGGTCTCATCCTGAGCCAGGTCCTGTGCCTGGCTGGAGGGGAATGAATAAATCACGCTGCCCCTTTTCTGGGGCTCCATCTCCGTCTAGTGTCAGGGCTAACACACTCTCCCGTGAACCCGCCCCCAGGAGAGCTGAGTGGACAGATGGAGAGCTCCGTCCTGGGAGCCCCGTCACTAGGCCAGAGGCCAGGGAGCACAGGGCTCTAGTTGCAGAGAAGCTGGAGGAAACAGCATGAGAGTCCCAGTGGGCAGTCAGAACCAGCACAGGCAGGTGTTCGTGTCTGTCCCCCTCCCTGGGAATGAGGTGAGTTATAGTCCAGTTGTGTAGCTGGAGGTGGTGGTGAGGAGGGTGTTCGTGTGGTTCTGTGTCCATGTGGTAAGAAGTTGTCTGCTGGAGCTGCATTCCTTCTGGGGGCCTAGGAGAAATTCCACCTGTTTGGAGCAAAACACCATGTGGCCAGAGAGCCAGGCAGGGGCCGGGAATAGCGACTGGGGCTTCTCTCAAATGCATGAGGACAGGAAGCTGGGCTCAGGCTTGCCTTCCACAGGAGAAGCGAGAAGAAAGGAAGGATCCAGAGGGACAGCCCACAGCTAGCATCCCAGAGAGTGAGGAGTGGAACGGCAGCCAGCCTGGTATGCGGCCTATGGATATGTATTCAAGTATTGCGTGTACGCACATTTGGAGGCGTGAGGCTGGGAGAGTAGGTCACAGTTGTGATGCTGTGTTGTACATATGTAGATGAGCATCAGTTAGTGTGTGTGAGAGAGTATGAGAAAAAAACAATGTTTATGGTTTGTGTATTAGTACATGTGTGTTCTTTGTTGGGGTTATCTCATCTGTTTGTTTAGCCTCTATCCCGTTGTAAGTAGGCCTCACTGCCAGGCTCAGGATCCAAAGACTTGAGTATCACATGGCATTGCTTCCCTTTGGTGGTCTGAGCAAGTCTGTACCTGTCATTGGTCTGACCTTGCTGTTTGGGCCCCCATTCTGACCCTTTGGTTCTAAGAAAAATGGAACAAAGTTCGTTCATAGCCAGCTCTGGCCCTCAGGCCTTCTCCATCACCATCCCCACTCTCCCATGTCAGCCTGTGTCTCCTGTCCACAGCGTCAGGGGAGAAGAAGGAAGGCTGGTCCTGGGAGTCTTACCTTGAGGAGCAGAAGGCCATCACCGCCCCAGTCAGCCTCTTCCAGGACGTGAGTGAGACAGCTTCCGCCTAGGAAATGCTTGTATTCCCAGTCCAGGACTCACCACCCAACTCAGGCCTTCTGGTGTTTTCTGTGTCTGACATCTCTTAAAGGGATGGAATGGAAAGGGGAGAGACTGGTTGGGGACCAGAGTAGAAAAGAGCCCACAATAAGGGATGTCCAGGGTGGGAAGAAATAGGGAGGTGGGCCTGCATCACTGGGCCTGCAGACTTTTGAATTCTGGTGCCTTCTACTCAATTCTGTATATGGAACTTTAAATGACTTGGATGAGAGAGAACCCTTAACTCCAGCCCTGACTCAACGCACATTTTTCAAGGGACCTGGGCGCTATTCTGTCCCCCTCTGAATCCCTGCACTAAAGACCCCCAAATAAGTTATCCCTTTGGTAGTACCGGCGGGTGGGGCCTAGAGGCAGCTCCTCCACCCCAAGCCCACTAGGCCAGGATAAGGCTGGGTGGAAGCTGGGTCCTCTCCAATCTGTGCGTTGACAGTACCAGGCGGTCACTCATAACAAGAACGGCTTCAGATTGGGCATGAAGTTGGAAGGCATCGACCCTCAGCACCCATCCATGTACTTCATCCTCACTGTGGCCGAGGTGAGCTGAGGCTCGCACCACCATTCTGATGGTGTCTCTCAGGACAGACTGATGAAGCCTGCCAGGGGCATCCGGGGCTCGGGCTCAGATGAGGGAGACACGCTCCTGCCCTCAGAAAACACACAGTCTAGTGGGGGATTGAGGTGGTTGCATCGAAAGACGAAAAATGAACAGAAACCAGAGGAAGTGTGAGGGTGGTGATGGTACTAAGTGGGTGTGCACTTCAGTGCTGGGCGAACTGGAGGAGATCCCGAGGGCAGGGGCGTTGGCATGAGTCCAACAAGGTGCTTGTCGTCTTGGAGCTCTCAGTTGTGTGGGAATCAGCCAGGTAAACATATCAGTGACACCCACAGGCGTGGGACCGACATGAGCAGAGCAGAGAGGCCCTGAGGAGGCAGGAGAAGCTTCACCGAGGCAGGGGCTCCTCTGCTGAGTCTTGAGAGACGAGTTGCGGATGGCTAGGGTGTCCCAGGCAAAAGGAGCAAAGTGAGCAAGGGCTCTGGGGTGTGAAACAGGCCGTGTTCACGGAGCTGCCGTTAGCTCAGTGAGGCCAGAGCAGAGTGTGCGACTGGGGAGCAGTGAGAGAAGAAGCAGAAAGAAAGGTCAGGGGGCCTTCAACACGCCTGAGCCCTGGTAGGTGCCCATGGGGTTCTGTCAAGGTCTTAAAGGGCAGGAGGATGCCACCGGATGTGCCTGTCTTGTACCCAGAACTCAGAGCTCGCAAGTACATGAACTTTCCTCATTGCAGGAGAGTATGGCACAAGGTTCAGGATAGGCGGAAACCTGGGAGTGAAGGGAGGTGGGGAGCCTGCTAGCATTAGAGCCCCGAGATGACCAGGCCGGGCAGGAGAGATGAAGGCAAAGGAGTGGGTGTCTGCTGGCATTAGAGTCCCTGTGATTCCCTCTCATGGGGCCAGGTGTGTGGCTATCGTCTCCGACTGCATTTTGATGGGTATTCTGAGTGCCATGACTTCTGGATCAATGCCAACTCCCCTGACATCCACCCTGCTGGCTGGTTTGAGAAGACTGGGCACAAGCTGCAGCCCCCCAAAGGTAAGGCCTAGCTAGGCTGGTCACAGTGAGGCAGGGGCCCTCAGGCCCATCGCTTCTTCCCCGTGGGCTCCCTTCCCTTCCCCATTGCACAGCCAGCCTCTCTCCACCACCTCCTGCTGTGACGTGGCCCCAGGGTTCTGCTGTGCCCTTGCCCTTTGAGTGTCCACCCGAAGGTGTCCTGCTTCGGCCGTGGGTCCCTGGGCAGGTTCTTGAGGGCTGTGGGGTCCTCAGGCCTGCCCGATTCTGCTGCTTCAGTGTGGGGTGCCCTGGCCGCGGCCCAGCCTCTGTCTGCACGGCGCTCTGTTCATCCCCGTGCGGGGCCTAGGTTACAAGGAGGAGGAGTTCAGCTGGAGTCAGTACCTGCGCAGCACAAGAGCTCAGGCTGCCCCCAAGCACCTGTTTGTGAGCCAAAGCCACGTGAGTGCCCCTGAGCCAGAGTGGACACCTGCCCCGGGGACAGCGTCACGGCAGCGTGCCCAGGGTATCTGACTTCCCCGAGGAGAGCTCCTCTTCCAGTGCTCTCAGCTCTGTTCTGGTCTCTCCTACCAAATGGGAGGGGCACGCTGGGCAGGCCAAGGCCAGAGGGAGAAGCTGGGCATAGGTTCTCCCCTGTTCCCTCTACAGAAAGCCTCTTCTTCGTCCCCTCGGAGGCCCCGCTCACTGTCTCTGCGTGGGCTCTGAGATGTCACTGTGCTTGTCTCTTTTTTATTTATTTCTCTTTCTCTTTCTCTCTCTTTATTTCAAAAATATTTTTATTGATTTCAGAGAGGAAGGGAAAGGGAGAGAAAGATAGAAACATTAATGATGAGAGAGAATTATTGATCGGCTGCCTCCTACACATTCCCCCACTGAGGATCGAGCCCACAACCCAGGCATGCGCCCTGACAGGGAATCGAACAGTGACCTCCTGGTTCATGGGTTGATGCTTAACCACTGAGCCACACAGGCCAGGCACCGTGCTTGTTTCTTGCTTTGGTTTGCTCTGTAGTTTTTGGTGTGAGGTCCGAGCCTCTGTCCTGGGAGCTGCCTTTCCCAGCCTTTTGCCCAACATCAAGGCTTTCCTATTTAGTCTCAACAACTCACCCTTGTCTTTTTCTCTGTTCAAGGCAGCTGGCAGCTTTATGCAGCAGTTCACGTATCTCTTAATCCCAAGCAAATGGTCTGAGAGATATAGGGGACCCCCATTAAAAATATCACCATATCAAAAGTCCAGGGTTCCCCAACATTTAAGGGAATGTGAGCACAATGCAAAGTGTCTTTAAAAGCATGTTGTGATGTACACTTTTTGTAATTACCTTTTTTGTTGTTGATGTGGCAACCATTTGTAAAACATTCCAAATAATTCCACAGTTCTCAAGCAAAAAAAAAAAGCCCAGGGTTCCCCTGGGCCCAGGACCCTGCCATGCCATTCGGGCAGTTACCCGCCACCTCCAGCCCAGCCCAGAGACCATACTGCAGGTGCCCAAGTGACTGGTGGGGGTCTGCCCGCTCTTGTGAGAGGGGATGAGACTTGTAAGTCATACTTTTTCCATCCTGGCCCACCGTTGATTAGCATTGTGGTCCTGGGCAGGTTGTCTGACTTATCAAACGGGGATGATGACAGCTGTCTCGTTGGGTAGGGCAGGCTGCGCTCCACCTGGTACACTTGGGTGAATGTGCACCTTCCTGCCAGTCACTCATCCTCTGCCATTATGAGGCTTCCTCTGAATACACCTTGGGGTCCAGAAGTTCCTGAGTGACTCTGGGCTGGGGATTATGATTCTGCCTGTTTCTCCCACCCCCTAACCCCAGCATGACTCTTAGGGAACCCACTCCTTCCCTTGCCAGTGGCCTCCAGGCTGGCACTAGCCTGCCTGGCCTGGCCGTGGCAGCCCCTCTTCTTGCCCCCAGAGTCCCCCACCCCTGGGCTTCCAGGTGGGCATGAAGCTGGAGGCTGTGGACCGTATGAACCCATCCCTCGTCTGTGTGGCCAGCGTGACCGACGTGGTGGACAGCCGCTTCCTGGTGCACTTTGACAACTGGGACGATACTTACGACTACTGGTAGGGGGAGGGCCCAGACTTGGCCGGAGTGGTGAGGGGATGGCAGGGGGAGGGAGGCAAGACTTTGAAAACTTAGACACATGTAGCCCCTGCCCAGCCCTAGCATTCATATTTGCTCAGGGGGATAATTGGTTGTCCTGTGGGTTTGATCTATGTATATCATAAGAAATACATGAGAGAGAGGAAGGGAGAGGGAGAGAGGGAGAAACATTGATCAGTTACCTCCTGTATGTGCCCTGACTGGGAACTGAACCCATGACCCTTCAGTGTATGGATGATGCTATAATCACTTAGCCACACTGGCCGTAGCCACAATGCAATATGAGAGGTATCATCTAGAAATACCAAGGTTAAGATGAGCAGACCCCTGTGATTTGCTCAGGGGTTTGCTCATGGTTTGCTCTTAGACAAGATGGTGGTGGTAGAGCTTTCAGTTAATGGTACAGTTTTCTGACTTTCTCACCAGCCATCTGTCTAACTCTCACTAAGTAGGGTGCACCCTGACGCCGTGCTGTTGTAGGCAGCAGGCTCAGGGCCTCCAAGTTTCACTTGGGACAGTGAAGTATATTCTTGGGTTTCAGGTGTGATCCCAGCAGCCCCTACATCCACCCGGTTGGCTGGTGCCAGAAGCAAGGAAAGCCCCTCACACCTCCACAAGGTGACCGTGCAGCCTGAGCACACCCCTGCCCGGGCCTGGCCCCACACCCCTCTCCCCAGGTCCTACACCAGTACCCCCAGGAGCCTCAGCCTCTCTGCCTGGGAGTAGAGAACCCTTTAATTTTAGGAGAGTCCTGTCCAACGCCGACTGTGTGGAGGTTTAAGGCAGTGGATCTCAACCTTGCTAATGCTGCGACCCTTTAATACAGTTCCTCATGTTGTGGTGACCCCCAATTTCATTACAAATTGAACATAATGAAAGCATAGTGATTAATCACAAAAACAATATGTAATTATATATGTTTTCCGATGGTCTTAGGCGACCCCTGTGAAAGGGTCGTTCAACCCCCAAAGGGGTCGCGACCCACAGGTTGAGAACCGCTGGTTTAAGGGAAGAAAGTTAAGGGACACTCCCTCCCCAACAACAAGGGTGCAGGATTCCAGAGTGAAGGAAATGTTCCCTTCCCTTTCAGAGTATTGCTTGGGCCCACATACAACAGGTTCAGAGAGGGCTGGGCTGGGGCTGGAGCCACAGGGCAGTGGAGAGGAATGGGAGCCAGGGTTCCCAGACAGCCCGGGAAACAGAGGTGGTGATGTGCTTGCTAGCACCCCTCTGCCTCCCGAGCCCCCGCAAGGAGCTGGCCATGGTGATGCAGGGGTAGATTGTCCTCCACGGGCTTCTGTCTCTTTCGTGCTCCTGGTTCTCCTTGGGGGCAGGGAGCTCTCCTAGGACGCCTGGGTGCCTAGACATTGCTGTCCTCCTCTCTCCAGACTACCCAGACCCTGACAGCTTCTGCTGGGAGAAATATCTGGAGGAAACTGGGACCTCTGCTGTGCCCACCTGGGCCTTCAAGGTGGTGAGTTGGCTCTCCTGCCCCCAGAGCTGAGCTCAGGAAGTCGTGGAGCCCTTGGGCAGCTAGGATGTGCCCCTGCACCCTCCCCTCCCCCGCTTTTGCAGGCCCCAATTTTCCAGGCACAGCACTTGGACTCCCTTCTTGGGGGTCTCAGCACTGCTGCACTGGGCCTCAGCCTGAAGGCTGCTGTCCCCCTGCAGCGACCCCCGCACGGCTTTCTTGTTAACATGAAGCTGGAGGCCGTGGACCGCAGGAACCCATCCCTGATCCGTGTGGCCAGTGTGGAGGATGTGGAGGACCATCGGATAAAGGTGGCTCTGGGACCCTTGGACTGGGGAAGTGAACAGGCCGATTGGGCAGGAATTCTGTAGATTCATTCGAGGTCAAGGGCATGGCATGAGCCAGACATAAGGGAGGCTGCACGTTGTGGAGAAGAGAGCTCTAAATTTGAGGCTGAAGATCTTGGGTCTCATTCTAGCCTCATCTGTGACTTACTTTTGTGTGCTTGAGCAGGTCATTTCCCCCCTCTGAGCCTTAGCACTCTCATCTATGAAATGGCCTGATAATCCTAGATCTATGTGAGGATTGATGGGAGATGCCCATAATTTAATGATGAAGCCCTTGGGGCACATGACGGCCAAGATGGATTATTGTGGGGTTGGCCCCTTGGTTCTTCCAATCCAGGATCTTGCTTCTGACAGGCTCCGGGGATGGGGAGAGCCTCCTGGAGCCTGCAGGACCTCCTGGCTGAGCGGGGCTCCGCGAGGAATGCCTGACTTCCAAGGGCCTTTCCTCCCCAGCTCCACTTTGATGGCTGGAGTCATGCCTTTGACTTCTGGATTGATGCCGACCACCCGGATATCCACCCCGCCGGCTGGTGCTCCAAGACAGGGCATCCCCTGCAGCCTCCTCTCCGTGTGTACCCCTAGGGCACTCTGATCCTTTCCTACTGATGTCCAGCCCCACCCCGAGCTCCTACACCCCACCCCCACCCCCACCCGCTTTGATAGCATGCCCAGGTCTGACACACAGGACTCTGGAGGCCTCAGTGAGTTCTGAGACCTCGCACCCTCCCTCCCTTCCTCTGGCTTCCCCAGTTGTTGGGTTGGGGTATTGAGGTGTGAAGGGGAAACTCACTGGAGATGTGCTTAGGAACACACAGAGCGTGCATGGGGTTTGCTAAGGAAATGCTGGCTCTGTTAAATAAACTCTGGGTCCTTACAGGCAGGGGTTAGAGGTCAGATCATTGGACTGCTCAGTTCTCACCCTCAGGATCCCCCCTCCAGCCCTGTTTCCCTGCTGCTGCCACATCTGTCTCACATGGGGTGTTGATCCTTCTCGATTGCTCTCCAAGCATGGGCAGAGCCTAAAAAAAGTTACCAAAGTCTAGGGGATGAAACAGGGAAACAGAGAATAATGTCAATCTGCCTGACATGGCTCTTAAGGTACAGCTGGGCCCACACCAGCTCTGTGTTGGATATTCCCCCCGCAGAGACAGAGGGCATGACCTGCAGGTTTCACCAAAGTATATGAGAGCCAAACCCCTCATTCCCTACAGAGAGGTAAATATCCAGTAGCAGGAAGTGGTGTCACAGCCTAGCTCGGGGCCCTTCTACCTGGGGAACTAATTCCCAGGGCTGACTTCCCTGCTCTCCATTCATCCCACCCCCACCCCTACCCCAGGACCTTATGCTGACTCTTGTTCCTGTCCCTCCAGATCCCAGAGAGCTCGGCTCTGCCTCCCCTGAGGGCTGTTCCCCTCTCAGCTATCGGGGCCTGCCGCACACGAGGACCTCCAAGTACAGCTTCCACCACCGGTGAGGGCAGGGCTCCTGCTAAGAGACCCTCAGACACTGCTCAGAGAGGGTCTGTGTGTGGCCAATCAGAGCTCACTAAAGACTCTCTCTGAATGGGGCCAGGCTTGGAAAGGGCTCATGGGAACAAGCGGGTTCAGCCCAACTTATGCCTTCTTCTTCCCCAGGAAGTGCCCCACGCCTGGTTGTGATGGGTCCGGCCACATCACAGGCAAGTTCACAGCTCACCATTGCCTCTCGGGGTGCCCCCTGGCTGAGAGAAACCAGAGCCGGCTGAAAGTGGAGCTGTCCGACTCAGAGGCCTCGGCCCGTAAGAGGAACCTCTCGGGCTTCTCCCTAAGGAAGAAGCCTCGCCATCATGGCCGGTGCGGAGGGCAAGGGTGCAGGGCCTCTTGTCCTCTTGGGCAAGGCCAGGCACTGATTCCCTGCCATGGACCTGGTCCCTCTCTCTCCAGGACTGGGCGCCCTCCAAAGTATCAGAAGATTACACAAGAAGAGTTCGCGAGTAAGTCCAGGGTCATTTACCCCCACGTCCTCCACAAAGTGTGTACAATTGGTGGGATGTTTACAGAGAAGGAGAGCTGGTCTGGGCAGCGTGGTTCAGTGGTTGAGCATCGACCCATGACCCAGGAGATCATGGTTCGATTCCAGGTCAGGGCACATGCCTGGGTTGCGGGCTTGATCCCGACTAGGGGACGTGCAGAAGGCAGCCAATCAATGATTCTCTCTCATCATTGATGTTTCTCTCTCTCTCCCTCTCTCTGAAATGAATAAAAACATATTAAAAAAATAAAAAATACTAAATAATCCTTCATAAAAAAGAGAGAGAGATGGAGAAGCTGGAAAGGTGGTTGTATCTCTTCGTTTGGGGAGCATAGAGCAGTGGCAAGAGTACAGGATGGGGCTCGAATGACCACAGGTTCCAGGCCCATTTCACCCATGGCCTTGCTGGGAATCTGTGGGAAAGGCACAGAACCTCTCTGGGCCTCTGGTTCTCCACTGGGAGGTCAGATGATGCCCTAGCTCTGTTCTTCATTCTAGGCTCCCTGGGAGGGAAGCATGGCTTGTCACTGTCTAGCTGTGTGACCTTGAGCAAGTCACTGAACATCTCTGAGCCTCAGTTTCCTCATTTGAAAACATGAATATAACTGCCCTGGCAGGGTATCTCAGTTGGTTAGAGCATCGTCCCGATACGCCAAGGTTTTGGGTTCGATCCTCAGTCAGGGCACATACAAGAAGCAACCAATGAATGCATGGTAGGAACAACAAATCCATATCTCTCTCTAAAAATAAATAAATGATTAAAAGAAAAGAAAGAAAACATGAATAACTGCCTTTCACATGTCAGCTACCTGCAATAATAGTGGTTACTATTACTGTGGATAGGATTCTCTTCTTCTGAGAGAAGAGAATGAGAGGCTCAGAGAGAGAGAGGTCATTTGCCTGAGGTCATTTGCCTTGTCAGGAGCAGAGCTGGGATTCAAACTCGGGTCTGAGATCTGCTATGTGCTGCTGATGTAATAGACACAAAGCACCTAACCTAAATGTCAGTTCCCTTCCCAACCCCCTTTGTTTTAGCTTGGCTGTCATAACCAAGTACCACAGAGTGGGTGGCTTAAACAACAGAAATTTATTTTCTCACACTTCTGGAGGCTAAAAGTCCAAGGTCAAAGAGTGGAGGGGTTTGGTTTCTTCGGAGGCCTCTCCTTGGCTTGAAGATGTCTGCCTTCTCGCTGTGTCCTCACATGGTCTTTCCTCTATGCCTGTATGCCCCCCCGCCCCCATCTTTCTGTGTGTCTAAAATTCTTTTTCTTACAAGAGCACTACTTGGATTGGATTAGAGTCCACCCTGCCTAACCACCCCTTTAAAGGCCCTTTCTCCAATTACAGCCACATTCTGAGGTACTGGGGGCTGGAGTTTTAACATATGAATTTGGGGAGACGCAGCTCAGCCCATAGCATGCTCCAAGGGGAGGCACAAGGGGACTGCACCCTCCGTTGTGTGATGAATTCATCTCACATCTCTGACCAGTAGCAGGGACACTGGGGATCTTGCCTCATTTGAGTTGCACATGGTTTTTAAGTCAGGAGGAGACCATGAACAATCACCTGGTTCATTACACAGTGTCTGGGCAGGACCCAACCCATTCAACAGCTTCAGGAACAGTCTGTGAACCCGGGCACTCTGAACCTCAATGACCTCACCTGTAAAATGCTGATGATAATAGTGCCAATCTCAAAAGGTGGTGGGAGACTTAGCCGAGATGGTCACATAACCTACTGGAATTCTCGCGTGTCCTGATCTCTTGCCTGATTCCCTCCTGGTGTTGTTCCCTACTGTTTCTCTGGGTGGAGACAGAAGGCGATTCCTGCAGCCTCAGGCCTGAGTGAGGAGGGTCTCAGAGTGAGGACTTTTGGGGGTGGGACTGCAGAGGGTACCTCTTCCACCTTCAGTGGGAATCCTGGTCGGCTTCCATTGCAGGGCCACGTTCTGGCCACCAGAGGGCGAGTGCCTGTGTTCATTCCAGAAGTGTCCTGAGGACTAGGGAAGTTCAGTCTTCCCAGAGCCTGAGGCTATAGCCCTCCAGGGACAGGACAGAACAGAGGACAGGGCGCAGGCCTGGGACCTCTGTGCAAGGCTCCCTTGTCCTACCAGCTGGCTCTCTCACAGAGGGGACACAGTCACTCTGGATTTTGTTCCGGAGACTTCTCACACATCCATGGGGAGACCTCTTCAGTGTGGGCTCCAGGGTTCGCTGGCAAACAGCTCCGAGGTGGAGGCTGCCTGCCAAGGACAGGACTCGGCTGTGCTCTCCCTGCTGGTAGGGCCCGCCCAGCCCCCTGAGGGTCAGTGTTTGAGAGAACAAGAGGAAACCACAGAGGTTTCCTTGCCCAACCTGTTCGTGTACAGGCTGGGAAACAGGCCCCTGTTATGTGACTTGCCCAGAGTTCAAGAGCAAGTTAATGAGGGCCCAGAAGGACTTAGGGAAAGGAGGACAGACACAACGGGCTTCTTGCTGGGTGTCCACCCCTTGGATGCAAGGTATCTCGAGAAGGGGACCAGGATGCTGCAGCAGCTCTGAGAAAGCCTCCTTGCAGGGCCCCAGGGTGCAGCCTCAGAGGGATGGGGGTTGGGGAGGAGGTCATTCCAAGCAGCTGACCCGAGAGTGTAAAGCAAGGAAGCCACTTTACCGGAAGGAGCGAGCCCAGATGAGGCAGATCTGGACCACCCTCTTGGCCCCGCAAGGCTATCAGAAGGGGCCGTGGTCCTCTTGAGTGGCATGGGTACAGGCCGGCTCCTGGGGCCAGGTTAGTCCCCAGCACCGGCCTGCCAGCCTCTGCCTCTGCTTTCCAGCACTAACGACCGATGTCATCCACCAGTCCTTCTTCATGTCATCCCTGTCGGCCCACCCTGACCGGTCCCTCTCAGTGTGCTGGGAGCAGCACTGCAAGCTCCTGCCGGGAGTGGCGGGCATCTCGGCCTCGACAGTGGCCAAGTGGACCATCGATGAGGTGAGGAGCTCGGCCCCTTCTTCCCCTCCCTTCCTCTGCCCTCTCACCAGGACACCCTCGTTCAGGAGGCCTCCCGGGCAGAGCTGGAAGCTGCCCCTGACACTGTCTCCTGCCCATCCCTCAAGTCCACAGTCCCTCCTAGCTGCCCGGCAGGGACTGACGGAGAGACTGTTTCATGGCCCGTCCTGGTGGATGGGGAGAGGGGCCGGCTACTAGCCCAACTGGAAATCTAGCGGGAGGGGCAGGCTGAGCCTCACATACCCAGTAGCACAGAGATGCAAGGATCCTCTTAGGTTGATAAGAAAAAGCAACACTGTCACAGCCCAGAAATTGCCAAGGCCATATAAGCCGCCTCCCCGCTGTTTCCCAAGCCCCTGTATCCTTGGCAACAGGCAGCATGTCTTCTTTGATTTCCAAGGTCTTTGGCTTCGTTCAGACCCTGACAGGTTGTGAGGACCAAGCACGACTCTTCAAAGATGAGGTAAGTGAGGTGCAAGTGCAGAGTGGGCACAGAGAAAGATCACCCACTGAGAGGCAGGGAGCAGGTGTCCCCACCAGTGCTGCCCCCACTGTAGGGAAGGTCCTCTGTTGTCACACCTGTGGAGGAGTAGTCATAGCCACACCTCTGGGAAACATCTGGTACGGACCGTGGCCCAGCTTGGGGACCCTCTGTATCCAGACCATCCCAGGAAGGAAGAAGCATCCTGGAGACGAGGTTCCATCCACCCCTCTGCCCTCTGCCCCCACTCTTTTGTTCTCCAAACTTACCTTCAGCCGGTTAATTCAAGTGCATTTTAATACCTGATGGCACAGGTATTGCCATTTACTGCAAGGACCCTACCATACACTTAAAAGCAAGACCCCAAAGCTCCCCAAAAGTAAGAAGCAGTGAGTTGTAGATAAAAGAATGCTAGCTTTGCAGACAGTTGGGTTTGAATCCCAGTTCTGCCAATTTGAGCTTTTTACTGTCCCTGAGCCTGCATCTTCTTATGTGTAAAGTGGAGATAAAATAGATATAATGATGTCTACCTTTCCAGGCCACTGTGAGCATTGGCAATGACGAATGGATTGTTGTATCAGAATGTCTAGGATAGTTATACCTTAGTATATATATTATTATATTATTGTAGGAGTCCTATATATTAATATTACATATAATATTAGAGAGTAATATGTAAATCATATCACTGTACAAGAATAACTGATACAGTGGGGCTTCAATCAATGGTTGTTCTGACTTTGAATGTGCAGTCGTCCTTAAATGAAGAACTTTATCACGTCTCTCCAATTTGTAGAGTTTGAAACTGGAAGGGGCCTTTGAGTCTGTTTAGGTCTTCCTTCCAAAGAATTCACACATCCCCTTCACCCAGGAAGTGTGGTCTCTGCCCCCCTAGGCGCCTCCTCCGGGCGATGCCCATGAGAGAAAAGTCTGCCCCCTTTCCCGGGAGAATCTCTCTATCCAGCCGACCAGCCAGTTTCTTCCTCAGGTCCTAGTTTGGCGGGGCTCCCTCGCTCCTCCCCATTTTGGGTCCTTTCCTTCTGGATTGTGATCTTATCGTAATGGGTGTGTCCAGGGCTGCACCTGTGTTTCAGACTTGCTCTGAACAGCACAACACCTGGGCTGCTCCTCCAGATGGCTTTGGTTTCTGTTTTAAAAAAGACTTTCTTACTTTAGAACAGTTTCAGGTTCACAACGAAATTGAGAAGACAGTACAGAGATGACCCATATGCCCCCTGCCCACATGCACAGCCTCCTGCTTCATCCACATCACTCAGCAGAGCGGGGCATTTGTTACAGTTGATGAGCTGACATCTAGATGTGTGTACATGGAGATCAGATATACACGGAGAGAAAGGCACCCATCGTAACAGTGCACACCCACAGCTTTGTGGAATGTGTACACGCTGAACCCAGTACTTCAGTCAAGATATGAAGCGTTCCCGTCACACCAGAGAGTTCTTTCTCGGCCCCTTTCATCAGTCCCCAACCTCATGGCAGCCACTGTTCTCACATCCAGCACCACGGGTTCGCTTTGCCTGCCCTTGAACGTCATGTACATGGAATCATACAGCGTGTACTCTTCTTTGTCTGTTTCCTTTCACTCAGTGTGATGGTTTCGCAGTTCATTCATGTTCTTGTGTAGACCCTTCATGTGTTCATTCTCATTGCCACGCAGTGCTCCATTTTATGACTATCCCACAGTTAACGGACATTTTCTCTCCCCCTCGATTTGAACCCTATATTTTTGTGAGTAAAACTTAAGATTGCACTAGCTTTATTATAGCCACATCACACCAGTTTTGAGTTCATGAAAGTCCCCAAGTGCTTTTATATCAGTTATCCATTATAATCAAACCAAAATTTCCAGTGTGTTATTGTACCACTGGCTTTTTAAAATTAATGAAAGACTTTACATTTCTCCCTGTTAAATGTTATCATGTTGGTTTCATGATCTCACTGTTTTAAATCTTAACTCTTTCACCTCTGATGTTAATAAGCCTTTCCAGCCTCATACAACTTGTACATTTTTAAAATATGTGTTTATTGATTTTAGAGAGAGAGGGAGCAAGATAGAAACATCATCAATCGGCTGCCTTCTGTATGCCCCTGCTTGGGGATTGAACCGGCGACCTCCTGGTGCATGGGTTGACGCTCAATTAATGAGTCACCCTAACTAGACTACAACTTGTACATTTGATAACTAAGCCTTCTGTGTTAATTTAAGCCAAGTCTTCACCACATGTGTTGATAAAACAGCAGAACCATGTGGCGCCCATTAGAGATCTTCCATTAGGTGACAACCGATCATAAACGAACTGTACTCTCTGAGTACAGTTGTTCAGCCAGCTGCTGAGCCACCCGAGAATTTGATCCTCTAGCCCATGCTGGGCTTCTCGGTGTCCCCATGTTGGAAGAAGGGTTATCTCTCTCGGGAACATCTGCTGCGTGTCTCGGTTCAGCATATTCTGTGATACAAAAAAGCAACGGCCAGAGCAAGGAGGTGTGCTGGAGGACCGACAGTACCCAGAACAGTCTCAGTGTAGACCTTTGTGGGGGCTGAGGATTGCCTTCTCCAAGGTCTGGTCCACGGCATCAGTCTCCCCGGGGAGTGGGTTCTCTCTGGCCAAACATGCAGCCAGGACACTCAGGGACACTGGTCAAGATGAATGGTGAATTGCTGCTTCTGGTAGCATGTGGTTAGGACTCCGAGGGAGATGTGTGCCAGGTGTAATGGGTGCTCAGAGGAGGGGGCAGGACAGAGAGGGGTCAACAGACTCTGCTGACCATGCAGCTGGTTAAACATGGGCAACTTCCTGCTCCCTGAGTGTCCCTTTTTCTTGGGTTCCCGGGGGCCATGCCTCTCTTGTGATCGCATAGAAGTCTCCTCATCAGCTGATTAGATTTTAGCTTGGCCTCTGTTAAACATCCCACGTGTGGCTCTCTAAGGATCTTTCCAGGTTACCCCAACCTGGGGAAATTCCCTGGTCCTATCCACAGCTCTCAGTCTATTGCTTAAGGTGGATCATTGCATTTGGCTCATTTTATTCATTTTCCTGTTGAATTCCTCTACCTTCAAGGTCAAATATGATCATTTCTGAGATTATGGCTGAAAACTCTCCATATACAGCAGCACACATACAACATCTTGTATGTTCTTGAGTAATCCCATTGTCCCCTGACACAGTCCCAAACTACTAGTCAACAAACTCCAGTCTTTGCTTTGAAGAACCTGGACTCAACCTCAGCAGTCACAGTAGTGAGAAATCCCCAGGGGAGGCACAGGGACCACTGGAAAAGTCTTGCAGAAGGTGCCCTGGGTTGGTCTCATTGCTTCCTTACAGTGTCATTCAACTTATTGCAACATCCCGTGTATTTCCTGTAAACTGGAAGTTAGAAACAAGGGCTTGGTTAGATTCAGATGAAATCTCAAGCTCTCTCTCTCAGAGCTCATAGGTAATACTGTGATGCATTGATTGGAATGCCCGAATGTCTGTTAGCAGCACTGAGATTGACCGGTGGGTTCATGTGGGAACAGCAATAGCAGGTTTTTTTTTTGTTTGTTTGTTTTTTTGTTTTTTTTTTTTTTTTAACTATCAGAGGAACATTGCACAAGGCAGGCTGGCTCTCGAGCAGTCATGCCTCAGCTTCCTCCGGGGTTTGCTTTTCCTGCAAGTCTGGTGTGCTGTTTGTTGTTCTTGTTGTTGTTTTAATCTCTACCTGAGGATATTTTTCCATTGATTTTTAGAGAGAGAGGAAGAGAGAAGGAAAGACAGAGAGAAATATCGATGTGAGAGAAACCCATCGATTGGTTGCCTCCTGCATGAGCCCAGGCCAGGGCCAGGTCTGGGGAGGAGCCTGCAACCGAGGCACATGCCCTTGACCGGAATCGAACCCAGGACCCTTCGGTCTGCAGGCCTGCGCTTGAACCACTAAACCAAACCGACTAGGGCAGCAATAGCAGGTTTTTGAAGCCACTGTCAGTGAAGACTCAGAAAACATTATGCAAATACACACTGAAGTCCAGATCTGTCAGCAGAAAGAGTGTGTGTGTGAACATGGCAACACCAGTGGATATCTTTCTTTCCTTCTCTGTCCCCATTGCTATCTTCCTTTTTTCCTTTCTCCCTCCCTTGTCCTTTCTCCTTTTCCTTCTTCTTTCCCTCTCCCTCCTCCTTTCCTTCCCCCCATATATCCTTTACTCCCATTTTCCTTCTCCCCCTCCCCCTCGCCATGCATATGCCCACCTTCCTTCACTCCTTCCCCATGACCCTCTCCACCTTCTCCGATTTCCACTTCCCTCCCCCAACCCTCAGATGATTGATGGCGAGGCCTTCCTTTTGCTGACACAGGCGGACATTGTGAAGATCATGAGCGTCAAGCTGGGTCCAGCCTTGAAGATCTATAATGCCATTCTCATGTTCAAAAACGCCGATGACACCTTAAAGTGACTGGCTCAGGGCTGGGCCCTCCTCCAACCCCAGCCGGGCCTCCCTCTGCACCTGATGCTTCCTTCCTGACCTGAGTTCCTCATATCCCACCTGTGCCCCCACTATGCTCTGCATCTGACCAGGGGTGGTTGCTCTTCTCTCCAGGGCTGCTTCCTACAAGGTACATGGGAGCAGAGGAGCCCGGGGGAGGATGGAGTCTTAGCCCCCAAGTCCTGGAACTCATCTGCCAGCAGGCATACCAGTGAGGGTGTGACATTGCTGGGGGAGCATTACTGATGGAGTGGGTTGGGGGTACCCTGCCTGTGGCAGCCCACTTCTCTAGCCAACTTGTTTTGTCACCACAGGGTCCTGTTGTTTGCAATTAAGAACAGTCTGGTGGAGCGAGAGGCCCTTTCGGCATCTCTCTGTGCTTTTCTTTCCTTGTCTCCTTTCCTCCTACCAAGAAGTGACCCTGCCACAAACATATTTACTCAAAAGGCACGCCCCCCCCGTCTTTTGGTTTTGCCACCCTCATTCTGCTGCTCAGTTTTCTGGTCAGTGCCCCCACCCTGGCACAGGCAGACCCCACTGGCTCCTCCCTTTAAGTGGGTGCGCCTCAGACACGTTTTCATAGGATCCAATGGGAGTCTGGGCTGCTGTTCTCCATTTTACCCAGAAGTGAGGGATTCTGAGCCAAAATGCCTTCTTAAACGTGTCCAGCTCTGGACCACTTGGCATTCTTAGTGTTCCACGCCTAGACCTGTTTCCAGCAGAGCGGGTAGTCAGAGCATTTCACCTCTGCAGCAGGGGTTAAGGTTCCATGGGTGTTCCCCATACTCTCTCAGTGTGTCAGGTATGGGAGGAGGCAGCCTGAATGGCTAGGTGGCCAAGGCCAGCCCAAGAGTACGTCAGACAATCTTTGGTCAGAGGGGCAGCTCCACCAGGTATTGTGGCTCCCAAAGCTGGCAGCCATGGGTCTCAGCCAAGGTGTTGCCCATGGCGGGAGTCAGGGGAGCATGCGTGCCAGGCCTCCTGTCATGGGCATGTAGCACTCTCTAGTACACACACACACACCCTGTAACATCATCTCAACCTGTCCCTCACATGCCCTGCTCTTGGGTTTTACAAAGAGGACTTGAAGTTGGGAGTTGGGAAAGTGAATTCTATCTTTGAGCTCTCTGATTCCCTTAAGCCTTTCTTACCCCGCTCCATCAGTGTTGCAGTGGGGGGCCTGCTGGGACTCTGGGACTTTGACTTTGACCTTTCTGTCCAAGTGGGGGCCTAGCCTCCACTGCGCCACTGCCAAACCTGAAGCCTGGGAGCAGGCCCCATGGGGAGATGGGGAGCAGGGGCTGAGCTGGGCCTTCCCCAGACTGCTCTGCCAGCCATGGGAGGTGTGTATGTGTGTGTGTGTGTGTGTGTGTGTGTGTGTGTGTGTGTGTGTATAGGGCACTCTCAGAAGTGTTTGACAGGGTGATGTGAGGCTCAGTGTTGGGGAAATGTCAAGGGCTATTCCTGTTACAATATGAAGCTTTATCTTTCCCATAGAAGAGAGAAACTCAAAGTTCAGGTGATTTGCTGTCCCTGCCCAGTAGGGGACCCTCTCACAAGGGACCAGACAGCTTTGCTCGGGCAGCCATTCAGCCCCCCAGCTGAGCTCCCACAGGACTGACATGCTCCTTCCCTTCCAGCCCTAAGAGGCAGCTCTGAGCACCACCTCCCAGGGGGGAAATCAGGCAGGCCTGAGGGTTGGGTTTACAGAGGTCGCATTGGTGTCCCCATTGGCCAAGAGCCTCTCTATCTTGGTTGCTTGAGTGGTGGCAAAACTCACCAGTTCCTTGGCCTTCGCCTATGAGACTGAGAGATGCTCACTGGCTTTGTGGTGTGAGGAGAAGGCAGCAAGTGCGCACAGTTGAGTGGGGCTGGGATGGCTTTGCCATGTGGATTTACTAACCACACTCTTAATACCTGCCTACCAGAAAGGCAGGATGGACCAAGGGCCTTGAGGAAAAGGGCCCCCAGGCCTCTGAACTCTGAGGCCTCAGCACTTTCTGCACCAATGTCCAACTCTTTGGAAAGAAACCAAATCACAAAAAAGGAGAAAGAAATCTGCCTCCTGTCCACCCTACTACCTCCCTTTCACCCCCATCCTGACCCCAAATGAGATCATCGCACCTTGACCTGGGAGGGCAGTGAGGGGAGGGAGTTGGCACCGGTGCCCAGTGCCATGTGACCTCTGCCCGGCTCTCCAGCAGAGGTACCACTTACACTTTGGCCCAGCAGCCTCGCCCAGCTCTGGCCTAGGCCAGGGAGGACCTTTCTGTTTGGCTTCTGAAACAGAAAGAATGATCCCGGAGTTTGAAAATGAAACTTGTTTGCACTTTCATTCACATGCACTTTGGTGGAGTTAGGTTTTTGTATTTGCTGTGTGTGTGCACGCGCACGCGTGTTCGTGTGCATGTGTGCACACGTGTGTGTTCTTTAAGAGAATCTTCTGGCTTAAGATAAAGTGACTCTTGACTCATGAGGGAGGAAAAAGTTACAAACAAAGTGTGGTGTGCTTCATCCATCTATTGAAACAAATAAACTTGAACAACTGAACAATATGAACTCAGAATTTGTTCTATTTTCATGGTGAAATACCCAGAAAACAGAAAGAGAATATCAATAATACCCTGTCATTACTCAGAGAATAAAGCATTGTCTCTGCTGGTAGGGGTCCTAACTAATCTGATTTTTATTCCCTTTTAAAGATAAGAAACAAAGAATAAAGATAAATGGGTATACTGTCTACATGGAGAAATATAAACAATGGGACCCTCGGAGAACAATGTGAAAAGGCCTGATCCTTGACAACTTGTGAATGGTAAGGGCAGACAATCCAATAAAGACTTCAGTTTAAAAAAACAACATGAAACTTTCAGATGGGGAAATATCAAGCTGAACAGTTAGAATTTGTTAAGGTTCCCAGAGACTGTGTGAGCAGATAAGAAAGTAGCAGAAATGCCACGTTCAATCACATCAACCCCTTTCTTGTCAATATCCTTAATTCCTTTGACCTGCTGCACTTCCATACCACTTGGCTAGAAGAATGTCAGCCATGGAGCTGTCTTCACACCTTGACCAGGAACTTAGCTGACTGAGCAGACTGGTTGCCATGCTTGACTGATAGTCCCTGGCTCTGGTGTGAACCCTCAGGGCTGCCCAGGAAGCAGCTGGATTTCTGAGGTCGTTAGCTTTGACTTCTCTTTTACCTCCTACCCCATTGCCTTCCCTGTTATCTCAAGAGATGTCTTCCCCATCTGTGTCACAGAGAAAACAGAAGTCATCAGAAGGAATGCCCCCACCTTTCTGCCACCTCATGTGCCAGTCTCCTTCCACCTACATCCATCCTTCCTTTCTTAACTATCACGGTAGAAGAGTTTATTTTTCCACTTGTCAAAAACTAAATCCTCACCTAGCCAGCGTGGTTCAGTGGTTGAACATCGACCTATGAACCAGGGGGGTCACAGGTTCAATTCCTGGTCAGGGCACATGCCAGGTTGTGGGCTCCATCCCCAGTGGAGGGCGTGCAGGAGGCAACTGATCAATGATTATCTCTCATCATTAATGTTTCTT